GCTTACAGGCCCCCCAGTTCCCCCAGTGCTCCCCATAGCCTCCACAGACCCACGGGTCCCGCTGCAAATCCCCGGGTCCCACTTGCAAACTCACAAGTCCCCTTTGCAAACCCCCCGCTCCCTTCTGCAAATCCCCGAGCCTCGCGTGCAAATCCTGGAGTCTCGCTGCCAACCCACGAGCCCCTTTTGCAAATCCTCGAGTCCCCTTTGCAAATCCACAAGTCCCCTTTGCAAGCCCTCAAGCCCCAGGTGCAAACCCACGAGCCCCCACTGCAAACCCACGAGCCCCCGTTGCAAATCCTCGAGTCCCACGTGCAGATTCTCAAGTGCCACATGCAATTCCTTGAGTCCCTTCTGCAAACCCACGAGTCCTGTTGCAAACCCACGAGTCCCCATTGCAAACCCACAAATCCCCTTTGCAAATCCATGAGTCCCCATTGCAAACCCGCAAGACCCTTTTGCAAATCCTCGAGTCCTGTTTGCAAATCCTCAAGTCCCTTTTGCAAGCCCTCAAGCCCCAGGTGCAAACCCATGAGTCCCCACTGCAAACCCACGAGCCCCCTTTGCAAATCCTCGAGCCCCATGTGCAGATTCTCGAGCCCCATGTGCAGATTCTCGAATGCCACATGCAATTCCTCGAGTCCCCTTTGCAAACCCACGAGTCCCGTTGCAAACCCACGAGTCCCCATTGCAAACCCACAAATCCCCTTTGCAAATCCATGAGTCCCCATTGCAAACCTGCAAGTCCCTTTGCAAACCCTCGAGTCCTGTTTGCAAATCCTCAAGTCCCTTTTGCAAGCCCTCAAGCCCCAGGTGCAAACCCATGAGTCCCCACTGCAAACCCACGAGCCCCCTTTGCAAATCCTCGAGTCCCTTTGCAAACCCTCGAGCCCCACGTGCAGATTCTCGAATGCCACATGCAATTCCTCGAGTCCCCTTTGCAAACCCACGAGTCCCATTGCAAACCCACGAGTCCCCATTGCAAACCCTCGAGTCCCTTTTGCAAATCCTCAAGTCCCTTTGCAAATCCCCAAGTGCCACGTGCAATTTGAGTCCCATGTCCAGACCCAGGAGTCCCCTTTGCAAATCCTCAAGCCCCACATGCAAATCCTTGAGTCCTGTTTGCAAATCCCTGAGCCCCGCATGAAAATTCTTGAGGCCTGCTGCAAACCCTCAACTCCCATTTGCAAATCTCAAGCCCTGCCTGCAAACCCTCACGTCCTGCATGCGAATGCGTGAGTCCCCTTTGCAAACCCACAAGTCCTGTTGCAAACCCACAAATCCCTGTGGCAAACCAACAAATCCCTGTTGCAAACGCACAAGCCCCCTTTGCACACACCCAAATTCCCTTTGCAAACCCACGAGTCCCTTTGCAAACGCACGAGCCCCCTTTGCAAATCCTGGAGTCCTGTTCGCAAATCCTCGAGTCCCCTTTTGCAAATCTTTGGGTCCTGTGTACAAATTCTCAAGCCCCACGTGCAAATACTTGAGCCCTCTTTGCAAATCCTCAAGTGCCACGTGGAAACCCACAACGCCCCTTTGCAAACCCACAAATCCCCTTGCAAACCCTCGAGTCCCTTTTGCAAACGCCCAAGCCCCATTGCAAACCCTCGAGTCCCTTTTGCAAATGCCCAAGCCGCTTTGCAAACCCACAAGCCGCTTTGCAAGCCCTCAAGCCCCGTTGCAAACCCACAAGCCCTGTTGCAAGCCCCCAGGCCCCATTGCAAGCCCCCAGGCCCCGTTGCTAACCCCCAAGTCCCGCTGCAAACCCTCGAGTCCCCTTTTGCAAACCCTCAAGCCCATTGCAAGCCCCCAGGTCCTGTTGCAAGCCCCCAGGCCCTGTTGCAAGCCCCCAAGCCCCAG